TAAGGACATCCTCTTGGATGTCAGTGGAATTCTCCAGATGTACCTGCTCCGAGCCCTCTTGGGTTTGTTTCCAGAGAACATTTGTAATCCTGCTTTTAAGGGTATGCTAAGATCAGAAATTTTATTGCAAGAGTCAGCTTTTGGTCAGAGAGGAGGTAACTTTGCAGCCAAATGATCAAGACGTAGATCACTAGCCACCTTGCTTTCCAGCAGTTGTTTGGAAAATTGTGAACCGCAATTTGCGTATCTTTTTTCGATTCTTTTTTCAAAAGAGGCTTTTCCAACATTTGGCTCATCTACATGGGGCCAAATGTCAGAAAAACCTCCTCTTTCGGAAGGGCCCTTAGTCCTCATAAAATGAGACATACAGGGCTTCTGAAAGAGCGTGTCTGCTCTTCTGAAAAAAGTTGCAGAAGAGCAGACGCATTCCCTGGATGTAGTGTAGATATAGCCAGGGTGGTTAAACACTGTAATAAATTGCCTAGGGAGATTGCGGAATCTCCATCACTGGAGATATTTAAGAGCAAGTTAGACAGACATCTATTAGGGATTATATAGACCGTGCTTGGTCCTACCATGAGGGCGAGGACTGTACTTGATGATCTCTCAAGGTCCCTTCCAGTTCTAGGATTCAATGATTCTACCTAATTTGGAATTTGGCCAGGACATCAGGGTTATGAAAACAGCCATTAATGACCAGAAATAATCCATACTAGATCTGGTCAGAAAAACTTCAGCAGAGCCATATTATGTCAAAACATGCAGCTTAATTGAAATCTAAATCCTTTGTGAAATCAGGTACATGTTGCCAGATTTTCTTCTTGGAAAAAACTCAAAGTTAAAAAAAGCTGTGAATATATCAAAACATCTTGTTTTGACAATTTCAGATTGAAAACCTTTCAATCTCAAACAACATTTTGATTTTTAAAAATGCATATGGCATATTATACTATAGTACAACACAATTTAAAGAGCCAGAATCTAAATAAAATGTTTTCGTTTTGTCAACATGTTATCATTGTTGAGAATTTCAATATTTTGGGGATTTGCTCCGATTCAGATCAAAAACCAGACTTCGGAATCTTGAAATCCTCCACAAGGCAGAAGTTCTCGCCTTTGTGGAAGTTCTGAGGATCATAGTTTTACATCTCATGTAAGTGATGATACATCCAGGAGCATTGTTCCCTCGTCCATTGCTAAGGTAACTGAGTGGACTCTGACTCGGAACTAACAGTATCATAGAAAATTAGGGTTGGAAGACACCTTAGTATAATGTCTAATCTAACCCCTTGCTTAAAGCAGCGTCAGCCCCATATGCAGGTTGAACCTCTCTAGTCCGGCACACTCTGGTCCAGCAACATCCGTGGTCCGGACCGGCATGATTTCAGTTAGCCGGATGTCCACTTAGCATGGGTGCAGCCAAGTTTCCCACGGTCCCATAAAATTTGTTTATAACCACTAGTCCTGGCGTTCAGTGTTCTGTGCTATTATTTAGCTCTAATTTAGCCCAGGAAGCAAGGGAAGTGTTGGTAATCCTGCTAGACATTATTGACCTCCCTTGGTCCAGCAAATTCTCTGGTACATCACTAATCAGGTCCCAATGGTGCTGGAATAGAGAGGTTCAACCTGCATCACCAACTGAATCACCATTTCTGCAGCACCCACATGTTTCTTTACAGTCTGCCATCCATACATTGACCCAAGTATGATCATGCTTACTTAACATGCTGGATTGGACAGCATGTTTTCGCTAGAGAAAGAAGAATTAGCATTAAAAGCGAATTCATCATGCATTCAAGGCCAAACACACTTTGGCTGTGATAGACTGTAGAATGTTTGCTCCTGATCCATTTGCAGAACTCCCAGTGCACAGATCAAGGACTGCACATAGCCCTTTATTTGTGAAGTATCAGAAGAATATAAATAAGGAGAATATTGAAGAAAGGGGTTGGAGAAGGAAAGATGTGTGGTTCGGAGGCTTGAAGACAGTCTAATTATTCTATTCAATTATGCATTCAACCCCATCTGACTGTCATTAGCAATGTGTTCTTTTTTGATAAATATACAGCCCAGCACAAAACTTCTAGTGTATTCCTTTCTTAATTATCCAAATGCAATTAGTAACTCTCAACTAAAATACAGCAAATGGGGTTAATGAATATTTAGCATTAATGAATATTGTTACTAAACTTCTTATTAACTTGAGGCAATAAAAATTGTTTTCAGAATTTTCTCAGAAGTGCTGAATGCAGTGTATAATCCTAACAGCTACATTCTCAAATCTTAACATAGGGTTTGGCTATATTGACATCAGAGGGAACCATGCAACTAAAAGCCTTGAACAATACTTTGAAAATTAGTGGTTCCTGGAAGGAGTGGGTGAAATTGTTCCATAGAGACATTTTTGGCAATTGATGGAACACAGGATTTTCAATGAAGAAAAAAGGTAGGCGGCAGACGTTTGCTTTTCTTAAATATTTTCCATTTTTGTGGGAAAAGTGAAAATCTCCATCTGAAAACAGAAAAAGGCAGTTTTCAGCCATTTTTGCTTTTGTCTGGTTTTAGCAGTTTTAGGCCCAAATCTTTCTGGATGCCGAAACCTGAGCTATTTTTTAGGGGTGATGGGCTTATTTTCCACCCTACTCTAGTTGATTGAACAGGATGTTTTAAAGTGCAGATTATTCTTGGAAGGTCTTGGGCTAGAGACTTTTCTTCACATTTCCCACTGTTACTCCTTCGGGTACAGCTTTGTTAGTGAGCTCTAGTGCACAAAACACTCCTATAAACGCTTGTGCTTTAAATCAATGTGGCAACATTTTCATATGTGCCTGGGTTCCCATTTCCAACAGCGTGTAGGCTCCAAAGTCCTATTGACTTTCAATGAAACGTTGCCTTCCCAGTGTGCAAAACATTTCTGAAAATGTGACTTAAGTGCCAAAGTCATTTATGTACTTTTGACATTTTTACCCCATATCTTGTAAACCTGCTCTGAATAGGGTTAGAGGCCACAGTGGATGAAATGCCTTTATCAGTCTACACTAGCACTCTGATCATTGCTATCACCAGGGGAGTTGGACAAGTGGGACACTGTGTGTGTCAATATGGCCTTGAAGACTGTGGTTCCATGTAAACGTCGGAGCCATGGATAGTGGCGCAGAAAGCTTATCCCTACCCTGATCACCCAATATAGCATTGCCGTGTTCTGCAGTGACCACTCAGAGTGATTGGCAAATATACATTTTTATAACTACCCAGCTCTTCATGTTTCTCCTAAGAGAGGGTGACCATTCTCAGGACAGTTGTGATGAACAGCTCCCCATTAGGAACTGAAATAAGGCCATCAATTCATTTCACAGCACTTATGACCCAAGTAACCGGGACCATCCAAATTCAAGGGGCTAAGTTCCGACCCCAGTGTGCAGTGGTCTCAGTATCAGATTTGGGAGAATTCTTGGGACATTCTTTATTTTACCAAAGTCCTAATGAGGGTCTACAACAGGGCTGGGCAAATACCAGCCTCTGGGCTGGATCCACTCTGCCAGGGTAAACCCTTGGCAAGCCCCCACACTGCCAAATTTACCTGTGCCTCCGCAGGAATGGGGGATCACAGCTTCTATTGGCCACAGATCATCACTCCCAACCAATAGGAGCTGTGCTTGCCTGTACCTGCAGAGGTGCAGGTAAATAGAATGTCACTGGCCCACCAGGGACTATCCCTGATAAATCACCACGGTTTTATTGCCCACTCCTTATCTAGAACCAAAACTCCCAAAATCACCATTCAAAACACCGATATTCTGTTTCACCTGCAGTATATTGAGACAATACAGGCGGGTAAATCGTGCTCTTTCCAAGACATTCATATGAATTATACATAAATGCCCAGGTCAAGCTATCCGCTGAAGGAGCACATCTCCACGAGAATAGTGTTATAAGAATCATTGTATTTCCCAACTGCACCTAAGTGAGCTATGGCAGCACACAAGTAAATGCTCCAATAGTAAATCCAGTCAGGCTACGAGATTTCCCCCGTTCTCTTTTACAATAGCCACGCCAGTTTCTGAAACATGCCACACTCCAGGTGGATGTAGCACAGCCCTCGATACAGCTCCCCGTAATTACTGCCAAGAGTGGCAGTGCTGCGCTTTTATAGCAGGCACAGAGGAGCTTGAAAGAATGCACCGCTAATATCGCTCAGAGAGCCTGGGCTGACACATCCCTGCAGCTTTTTCTATCTGCTTTGTGCTGATCCTTCTTTAGGGTCTGATGCTGCAAGGTGTGGAGCCGCTGCCTCTCCCACTTTTCAGGACTCAACCCCCAAGGCACATGTCAAGATCTATAAAGCAATTTATTCCCAAACTTTCAGGCAGTGCACGCCCACATGCACCCTCTTTTGCGCCTCCCTGCCCACCCTCTCAAGCTAGCCAAAACAAAAATTGTCCATCACGCTATACATTCAACCTCAGGTGTTCCATAAAAACAGGAATATTTGCTCCATGCCTCCAGTCCCATGCTGGGCTAGCTGAGCTGTATTCACCCCGACACTAAAGGAATTAACCCCTACTTCCATAGACTTGGCAGTTGCTGAGAAAAGTGAAGATGTCGTTAACATTAAACACACACAATGAATAAGAGCTTCCCCGAAGGCTGCACTTGTCTTTGCGTGGCATGAAAATAAACTGACCCCAAAATCCTTTCCAAGCCCCTTGCTAATAAGCACCTGTGGGATCGGTACGACTGGAGACACTTGCCAGACAAAACGACAGGGAATTTTCTGCCCCTGCAAAGATTTTACAATCCACTTGAATCCACATAGTTAGAGCACAGATAAAAAAGCATATGCCTAACACTTCACATATGATTTTACATGATGCAGGGAAATGCAAGTTTTGCTCTTCCATTCTGTATGCATTTATCTCTAAATGAGGTTTCCACATGCCAATCTCCTCATCTTAAAAGGAAAACAGACCAGATTTAAAAAATCATTAAAGGATACTCACATGTAGTGGCTTCAGCTTGTCTTTCCCTCTTGCCAGTCTACTCAGTGGCTTTTGCTTCTTGTACTCTTTGGGCTTCAGCTGAAACAAACCTTCTTTGACAGAAATGCTTTTCCTCCCGGCTGCTTTGTCTGAGATTCCCAGATGAACACTGACTCTTATGTCATTATTGGAGTTCTATTGCTCCCCTAAAGGGGGCAAAGCTTTGGTTCTGTCATCTTCCACTTGCTGAGCTCCTGCAGGAAGAAACAATACACAAGAAGCTGACAACTGATAGCATTTGAATACCCAAGGGAGAGCAGCAACCTGAGATGAAGAGGTAACACAATAGATTGCAGCGGAATAGCACCATGTTATCATCTGTCTCCCATTGGCATTCTGAACCCTGGAAAGCCTACAAAGTATTATTTATGAACTTGCAAGCGTGTGAGTAAAGCCAGGTAAAAATGTGAGTTTTATATAGTCAATAGCAATATACTCGGGTTAAAACCTACATTTTTTAAAAATACAGTAAAGATCTCAATGAGGCAACTCTCCTTCCCTTTGCTAGTAACCACAGCAAATGCTATGATAATCTTGATAGCTAAACTGCCCTGTTTTGAAAAGCTTAATTACCTATGAGCTCTATAGATTGTCTTAAAGCCAGTTCCATGTTGTTGTTAGCAACGTGTCATGGCCACTGAGACAATTTAGGGTCTTAACAAAGGTCAAGTATTATTTAGAAAATAATTTCTAAGTCAGTGTGTAAAAATTAAGAATTGGAGCCTCATCTACTGTCAATTGGTCCATTTTCATAGCTTCAACAAGGCTATACAATTTGCACTGCCACAGGATCTGGCCCTAACATCTCTTTACTCATTATTGAAATGCAATCACTTCTAGGGTGGAACAAATGTACTCTGACAGCACACAGGAAAGCCATGCAGCAAGTTAAGGTTAAGAAATGAAAAGTATTTTGTTCATTTGAAAATACAAGAGGACTTCAAATAGGCAGGATTTAATGTGCCAGTTTTGGACTAGGCATCACTAGCCCACCACCAACTGAAAAAGAATGAATTTTTTCCCT